GATTAAGCTGACGTTTCGGCGAATTTCGCCTTCCTCAGAGACGCTTCCTATGAGGTTTCCATAGTGGAAACATACTTAGTGGAAACCTCATAGGAAGCGTCTCTGAGGAAGGCGAAATTCGCCGAAACGTCAGCTTAATCGTAAACGAAGAATAATAACACCTCGCGTTTGCTCAACAAAAATACGAAGAAAAATACACAATAACATTTTCATTAGTTGGCTCGAGGTACCGCTATGCGGTTGGCTGCTTTTCGCAGAAATGCACCTAAACACTCGAAAACCTTTTGTTCTAAAAAGAAACTGTTTTGCTTGCTCTTTAGAGAATCTTCTATGGTCTTACTACTTATTCCACAATTTATAACGTCTCTTGATGTCATCCGGGTCTGCAGTAGGTGGAAAAACACTCAGCGATGTCTACGGTAGTGTTGTGATCGGCGATCAAAAATCATGCGGATATTGATGCCAATCGCTCCATCCAACTACCACATACCTGAGCTGCGAAAAATATTTCCCGGGCATTGTAAAGCCTCAACTTTTTATCTGCTACCTATCTTTTTTTGACGGCAGAGCATTATGTGAAATACAACCACAATGATGTTAGATATTCGCAAAACTTGGATCCTCTCCTGGATTCGAATCCTTGATTAGGTTTTTCGTGGGTTTACGTCTACCAGACCAAAGTCCGCCCAAGTCGTCACCACCACAGGCAGTCGCCGCCCTTGGGGCAGAAGGAGATTTGCCACCGTGCGACTAGTTTGATACTAGGACGGTGGTGAATCCTAGTGTTGATTAACTCTTAACTGGGCTTCCTAGTAGAAATCCTGGACTCCTTCTCAGCCTAGGAGGCCCTGCTGATGGACGAATCTCCCCGTTGTACTTCGCAGCTCGACACCCAGGAACACCCTCCAGCCACGATTAGGCGGTAAACCGATGAGAGGTGTCGGTGAACTAACATATAAAAGCTGACTTGGTTTTGAAATCTTCGGCGAATATAGTAATAAGCTCAACCTAATGCGTAATGTTCCGCGTGGGCAATATGACAATAAGGCTAGAGACACTAAGACAAACGAAATGCATAAAACCTTAACAACAACTGACAAACAAGGCATCAAAGCGTTAGATTGTTGAACATGAAATGTCTGACTTTGCAATATAAAAGGGTAAAGCACTCTTAGTCATCCTTAGGTAACATAATTAATTGCTTATTAGTGTTCCGGATACCGCTTTAAAGCTCGGGATTTGTCCTTTCCTCCTCTCAAGCATTAGAATTCTTCAGCCTCAAATTTATTCCATGCATCAAACGTATCTCATGAAGTTTCTTTCCCGAACTGAATCGATGCAATATTGGTTCGATCTGCTTTTCGACTTTTCTGATTTCTTCAGGTTATTTCAGATGGTTGAAAACAGTCTTTAGACATACTTTCATTTTCTAGTACGATCTTAAACAGTTTTTTGTGTAAACCTTAACAAAATCCAATTCCCGGACGACAGCGATAGTTCGGGAGCTTTCACGGTCCTTACTATTAAGGTTTTCGTTCTTATATTCAAATATAACGTAACGCAACCATAATGATGCTGATATATTTGCAAAACTCCAGATCGCAGGTTTCTGCAATGAGGAACTAACGCGTTATTACACTTTCAGGGGTTAACGCGTTTACCACTACACCAAGCGGGTCTTTCGTTTCGCTTTTCTCTTACCCGTGTTTTATAGATGCTATTTGCAATCACCCGTCAACGGGACTGATCTGGGAAACACACAACGATGTTGAATCCAGTGCAGCCGGTAGGACGTGAGACCCCGGAAAGAGTGCTCGAATCCAACCTGAGTTCAAGTTTTGCAAATATCTACTCATCACTGTGGTTGTATTTTACATAAAAGCTTATGTTTTGTCCTTAACTGATGAGACGCTCATTTAGAAAGTGTGCTTAGCGTATCGGTTAGACACGCCCTACAAAACGCAGGTGGTTTCTGGTTCGATCTTGCGACCCAGGTTCACAAGCCCTCTATCACTCCGGGCTGGGCAAACTGATAACAGACTTCTAATCCCGTACAACGATACTAATATCCACGAGCCCGTGAACCAATAAGTGGAACCGAAGTGCAATCTCAATATTCGATGATCAACCATTCCCTTGTTCTAAGCGTTCTAGTTTATTCGAGGCAAACACACTAACCACTAAAAAATTGAAATTTAAACAGAAAACTAGCAAATAGTCACAACAGTGGTTAACTCTGAAGGAAAATGTGTGAATGCAAGGCAAATCCAAATACGAGCACTCCAGTCGCGTCAATGACGAGTTTCAATAATTTTAAATGGTGTTCAACAAAAATACAACTGTTGTAGTAGTTGCTAGTGGAAATTAGGTCCTCGAGTCAGTTCTCGGTACCTTATGGTCAGTAGCTTTGAGTAGGATGCTCGACTTCGTAGAAATTGCCACGCGGGACTTTTTCGTAGTTGTCGCAGAGTAATATATCAAACTTGGGTAAATAAACCGTTTATAACAATAATAATTTAAGAATAGCGAAATATAAACATTGGTACAATACAGGCTGCAATATTGCATCATGATCAATAAATGAGGGTAATGTGGATTAGTATCTTCGCTATAGGCCAGTAAAACAGTGCCATGTGCATTTAGAATACCTCAAGAGTGTCACAAGATCCAGGCGCATTAAGGGATTTATATAAGTCCGTAATACCTGTCTCATAAACAACAATACTAAAAAGTTACCCACTATATTTAGGCTTGTGATGTGGTTCTGATGAAGTTAACACGTTAAGAGTGCCATGTAGGCTTGTTGTAACATTGTGATGTGGTTATATGTTAGCTTTTGGGTACAATGCGACTAGGTTAACGTATTAAAGAATGCATGTAAACGTATGAGTATACTGCGATGAGGTTAATGTGAACACACAATAGAGTTAGCGTGTTCAGAGGTACATGACAGCAAAGTTAATATACAACAGTGACCACATACAACAAGAGAGAACACCTTTGATTAACTACAAGGCGCATTACACATGATGAACAAGGGGGCGAATACGGTATTGATGCACGGGGCTACTTAAATGTCTTCTGGAGCAGGCGGTGCTTTGGCACAGGTCCACCACCTTTACGGAAAGCATTCGTTGACTTCCACATCCAGCTCCCTCGTGATCAGGTCAGATGACTAAGGACGATTTGTCGGACAGCTTCATGCCCCTTTGCGTTACCGTACCCGTGGTTGCTTGGAACAGATGCAACACACAAAAGGTTCCGATTGTGTAAAAAGAGTGTGGTTCACAAAGGATGTTTACGACAACCAAAGTTTTTCAGAACGAAGTGAAAACGTTTACATGCTGCAAAATCGCAAGGTGATGTGAAGGGCCACGAATACGGTTACCGCAGACCTACGATATGATGAAAGAATAGTAACTATTCTGGCAATAGTTGCTGTAACTATATTCATACGAGATACAATGTAATACAAAGGCGCTGTGGCCAGTTCCACCTGGCACTGGGCGAACCGACCCTCTAGTACCTTTGAGATCTACAAAAACCTGATTTAGCTGCGAAAAACTCTTTCCAAGCCACAAACGCCAACGACTGTTTCTGGGTGTAGGAACGAGAGAGCACTATAAGAGTTATCCCAGGTTTCCAGGAAGAATCCTTCCGAGCAGAATTCAACGACATTAGTGAAGAAGACAAGGATAAAGGATAAAACTCTCGGCGTTGATCATTTCCTGAGGGATGCGCCATGCATTCGACCTCATTAAGCATCGTTTGGAGGTTAATGAATGTATATTTGGCCTTTACAATGACTCGCGGTGGCCTACCGATGTATCCAGCCAGTGCTGCTATCCTCCCAGACAAGCTGGGGCCAATTCGCCGAGCCCGAGTGGATGAAAGGCTTGGTGGGCCATGGGCGCAAGGATCGATTCCACGCGTGTGTTGCAAAACGCCTCCGACCACTGCGCCACATGCGTCACACGGTAATGCTGAGCTTAAATGACCCTTATGCGGGAGTGATGCTTGCTGTAGAGATAAATCCCGTTTCTCATCGTAAGCGGATGCCTAAGATAGTCCACCAGCCACAATGGGTGAAAGTGGGTTTAAATCATTGGAGAGAATAGCTCCTTTTAAGAACGAAGGAATTTCCATCAAACCGCGTTTTATCTGCTAATGGATGTGAGTGCCCACCAAGAAAATAAACTCGGAAATTTTAGCGATATAAGAAATGTCGGATCACTTTACTGAAGGAATGGTGGTCAGATCTGCTAATCGCATGCGATTTCGTAAGCAAAATCGTCACAAAGTGAATAAGCAGCATGTAAAATTAAGTGTACTTTAAAATTGGTTATATGCGCCTTATAATTAGTTCGTCAGGCTAAATAAGTTGTTTATAACATGCTTGCATACTTCAATGGCCCGTCTTCAATAGTTGTTCGAGCCTCAGCACAATTTCTATTTTTTCGGAGTCGTGCTGGTTTAACCACTCTGTTTCCCAGAAGTTCCGAGATTAGCATAACCGAAGTCTGCATCAGGTCGTCACCACCACAGGTAGTCACTGCGAAATTGTAGATCAGAGGGTGGTTTGCCACTATACGACCATTTTAATGCTGGGGCAGTGGTGGATCCTGGGATTGTTTTACTCTTAGCTGAGCTTGCTGATGGAAACGCCGGACTCCTTCTTAGCTTGGGAGACACTGTTCGGTGGATGAACTTCCGCTTTATATCGCAGCTCAACACCGAGGAACATCTTCCAGCCACGATTAGAATCTCAATGGTTGGGAGTTTCTTCCTCTTTATACATTTCGTAGAATGCTGGTCGTGTCGATTCTCCTTAAAATCGTAGGGACAGCCGAACTAAGTTCCCAGTGGAACCGCGAAGAGCATTAAGCAGTGGGTCGAACCAGAGTCTTGCTCCTTAATGTTCTACATCAACAACCATTGCGTTACTCCTTCCCTCCCATTTGTTTTGGAAAAAAACTACACCTTTGCTGTATTCAGTCAAATGGTGTTCAAATGGACTTTAATTTGACAAACAAGAAGCACCGTACATAAATCGAATACAGGAAGAAGGGAAATTTTAATAGGATCCGTGTAGTGCTTTTTTTCAAGTATATGATCCATGGCAACAGTTCCACGTTTTCTCTTCCATAGCCACATCGACAACTTCGGCACAATTTTCTCCTGTCGATATTTGAACAAGGCGTCTGAAAATTACGAGTTACTGACGACGTGAATTTGCAAAGTGAACTATTTTGCTTTTGCACTTTGCACTCATTTGCGCTTAATGTACTTAACCCCATAAAGATTTTCACTAGTTTCTCTGCTTATAGTTCATAAGGATAAGAATTTTTGTGTGGTGCGTCCGGTCCAAATGTTATCTTATCATGCAGGAGATTTGTCGCACAGGAACTGGTAAAGAAGATGGAATTCTGCTTTAAGCATTTGTGAAATGCGGAATTGAGTACCGTGATAGGCATCGGCTCGAAGGTGTTATTACTGAAAGGACAAAAGGGATAGTGAACTGAGAAAGGTCAGCACAACTAACATGACCACTAACTACAGCAGAAAAAAGTCAAAATCACAGTGATGCTGAGATATTTGCAAAACTCTTGACGGCAGGTGTCTTCGGTGGGGATCGAACACGTACTTACCCTTCAAGGAGGCTCACGCCACCATCACACCATGCGCATCCTTCGTTTCACCTTTCTCTTTGCTATTTTTCTATTTACTAGTGTCATAAGCAAGCAATAGTCAGTATCTATTGAAAAAACCAACCAGTAGAAATATCACTACATGAAGTTTTGTGCGGCGCCAGTGATTTATTTTGGGAGTATCAACCCATGATTAAGGCATGGTAAACCAAAAAATGTGGAACAAAAGCGAATTAAAAAACGTCTATTTCCATATTCGTTATGGATACTGGTTTATCTAAAATTTCCAAAAATTTATTGTTTTTCGGCCTCGTACGCATTAAAATTGTTCCATTCGAGGTACCGTTCTCTAATCTTCAGTATTCGTTCGTCACTGGTTATTAATAATGACAGTAATATTAATGGCTGGTAAACATAATAGTGACCAGTATAAATAGAGCAGTAGTGAACGTGATAACAATAGTAGTAAAGCGGTGGAGTGCTTGATGTAATGGGCTCCAATTCTTCATGCTTGGTAGGACAGTCCGACACTGTTATTCTGGCATGGGTGTTTTGCAAAACTTATGAACGGATGCTGACCAACATCATGATCCTCATTATTTTTAAAACCAGAGTCATGTAATAGCGTACTTGGTAGTGAAAAATTCGGTTTAGAGTTCGATAAGGCCTATAAGTTTTATTGAATCTAATGTCTTGCTAGCAAATATTCAATGTTAACCTTTGATAGTCATTTGCAGCCCTCAAAATGTTTGTATATGGTGTCGTTGTTGCACCCTGCTTTCTATTCAAGGCTAAAACTCGAGTAGACGGCAACATTAAAACTACCACAATTACTCATTTCAAAGGCTAGACTTTTGATAAGTCAGCGAGCAGAATAGTCTTGACAAATGTCATGTTTTAGCTTGCTGTCATCCTTAGGGGCAACATTTGTTGTGCCACTTGGGATGTCTTGCGATTCATGTGTGGTTGGTAGGTCGACCCAACGCTCTGGTAAACGACGCGTTACACACGTAGGTGGTTGGCAAACTGGTACTAAACTTGCTAGAGAAAATCACTCAGTGTATATATGTAGGCTACAGAAAGATATTGTTGGGGCAAATATTCATTTATTCACCTCTACGATGCTACAAATGGTGTCGAACATATAGAAGAAATATAGCGCTTCTCTAAGGAGCTGTTGAACAATGAAGGCCTTGTGATTCATGTTCTTATTATGATAATTTGGACGTGAATACTAACAATAAATGAAGGATAAAGCTTTCGGCGTTGATCAATCTCTGAGGGATGCGCCATGCACTCTGCTACATTAAGTATCGTTAGAGGTGATTGAATGCATATCTGTCCTTTACAATGGCTCGCGGTGGCTTACCGATGTATCGACTCAGCGCTGCTATCCTCCCAGACAGGTCCACAGGTCCGGTACCAATTTGCCTACCCCGGAGGGATGGAAGGCTTAGTGGCCATGGGCGCGAAGATCGATTCCACGTGTGTGTCGCAGTGGCACCTCCAACCACTGCGCCACACGCGCCCGTTTGAATACTAATACAGAAAGTATTTGTTTACCGCATTCGTATATAATGCTGAGATATTTGCAAAACTACGAACGGCAGGTGTATGCGGCGGGGAACGAACCCGCCGCGTTGTCCTTACCGTGGAGCAGCGCATTTCACCACCACACCATCCGGGTCCTTCGTTTTGCCTGTCTCTCAGCTAGTTCTATCGATCTTTTTGCCATTAGCAATCACCCGTCAACGGGATTGATCTGAGGAGCCGAAATCGGAATTGAACCCAGTTAAGCTGAGGCTTAGTTATAATCACAATCTTAACCATTTTACGTACTGCCTTTTTCTTTTTAATAGCAAGGTATGTTGCGAAATATAACTCGTATATAATGCTGAGATATTTGCAAAACTCAGCATTATATACGAGTTATATTTTGCAACATACCCTGCCATTAAAAAGAAAAAGGCAGTAAATAAGAGGGTTAAGGCTTGCCGCATTATTTGTTCTTTTCTATCAGGCGCAACTTTGCTTACCGTGCTATGTCCGTAAACGCTTGGTTGACGTTGTGACCGGTTTTGGCACTAGTTTCGATATATGGAATATTGTAGGACTGAAATGATCATATGAAACCGAAGTTAAGATATAGTTGGCTGATCGATGAACAATATTCCATACCGTGGTTTTTTAGTATTCGCATGCTTTCATAGCTCTACTTCGAAAATCGATAACAAAAACAATACCGAGAGTCTTAAATCTTCTCCAATTCCCACTGATTATGTTGAAAATGAGTTGAATTTAGTGTTTTGACAAGCAAAAATAGTACTTCCTGTTCCAGTACAAGGTTGTCTCTTCTATATCTTTAAGCAAATGCATTGCTTAACAATGTTATAAAAGAAATATAATACTGCTGTCAAAAAATACGTCCAGGCGTTAGTGAACGTGATAGCGAATTAGTACTGTTTAATGCAGTTTTTCGGCTTAAAACTGAAAGGCTATATTCAGTCTATGGAATTAGGTAGGCACCGATGCCAGTTGTCGCGCTTCATCGGGTTTTACTGTTCGTGCTGATCCGAGATCGCATTTGTTTCCTACCAGTGTCACTTGTACAGACTCCTTCCCATGTTCTCGAACTTGAGACAGCCAGCTCTGAAGTATCTTCCATGTTTTATTCAGAAAAATGCAGCCCTAAGCACTTTTTCTTTTTTGAAAGATGTTTCATACAAGCAGCTCACCCTGACGTTTTCGAAACTCGTCCGATTCGATACGTCGAATACCAATAATAAAGCATCTGCTTCTCTATAGTAAGCAGTCGTAACGGAACGAAACCGCTCCTGCCCAGCTGTGTCCCAGATCTAAACAACGAATTCAATAGTTAAGAAATCCACCGACTACCAGGCGCTTCTTCCTGATTCATTCCTTTGATTAATAAATATTTCGTCTTATTTCTGCTTTGCACTTTTTCACTTATTGACTTCCGTTTCAAGAAAGATTGGAGTCGATTTCACTCCATAATGGTATAATGAAGTAAGGAACAGTATAAGTCAGATATACAACAAGGTGTAAATTCGAAGCTGATAAATTATGATTTTTAAGTAGGTTTCTGTTGTTAAGAAGACATTTTTGGAGTTGCGCAGAGCGCTGTGAAGTGAGAGCGAGCATCCGTAAACTTACCTTTCTACTCGAAATCTTCTCATATAATGTCACTATCTTTTGCCAAAGAACTGTATTCTCTTCCTTTCAATCGGCATTCATTCAAATGACAACAACCTGATTTCGTTATAATGAAAGTGATCAAATCTGGGATCTTTTTTCAATTTTAAACCAAGTTTTGTATGATGGTGGTCTCTTAACACTCACATTCCGCGGAAATCTCACGAGATTTTGGTATGCATCTGTAAGAATTAATCAGTCATAGCCGCAAAAATTTCATATTTATATACGACCCGTCTTCACATCTACTATGCAGATCTCAACACTTCTCACATTCAGCTCATTTTTTTGCGGACATCATTCACTACGGTTTTCCAAATTTTATGTGTAGCTATGGTTGCTGCTTGAGGATTTTCACCTTGAATGTCGTAAAATGTTGGCTGAGCCGATTCTCATTGAAGTACTCTGATGCCCTAGCATCCCCATTTAGATAGCAAAGAGTGATTTCTTTCTTGGAGAAGTCTGGTATCACTTAAAACTGAGACTAAAATGCGAGAAGCAGCGGGGTGGAGACAGGGCAGTGGTTAGTGATGCCATCGATCAGAAAGCAAAGGCGCTAGTTCGATCTCTATCACAACGCCGTCCTGCAATCCACGTAGGCAAGCCTTAGCTCGTATATCTCGGCGATTGGAAGGAGAATTGACACGACCGTCTATGGCAATTATGAAGAAAACGAGATCCTAAGCTGGAACAATTGCAAAATGTTTGAAGACCATTGTTGACCATGAATGCAAGGAAACGAATCGAATTTGATGATGAAGGGTTATGTGAAATGTCACAAAAAGCAAAACTACCTACTACTTTATTCAATCGAAATGTGTCTCTACAATAAGTGAAGTAACTGGATAGCAGACTGGCTAAGAAAAGATGGAATAAGTGCTAAATGTTTATAAGAATAAATCCTCAGTTCATTTTAAACCAGAATCGCTGACGTCACATTGGCGGCAGTACGAGCCAAAGACACCGATCTCTCCCACAGGGTGATTTCCTGCCGTGTTAGTCGAGGGGCAACGTGGCACGTTTCCAGGTGGCGGATAGGAGGTTAATCGAGGACCAAAGACCACCGTGTGCTTCACTGAGAAGAAGGAGCGTCTAGGAGGTGGAATCCTTGTTCCCGCTGTACCAATTCAACAAATACTTTCCGTGTTAGCAAAGAAATATTCATTAATGCGTGCGTAGGTGTGCTCTCTTTTTGCGCTGGTTATGTTCTACGACGGCCGAAAAGAGTGCAATCAAGCGACTAGTATCTATAGGAGAGGCGGTCAGAGGTCACATCCGGCAAATAAGCTCCTTTTCTACTCTGGAGGAGAATGGCAAGTTACCCGTGAGTATAGCCAGCCCTCACGTGCAGGGTTCAACAAGCTAAACGTGGGTATCAAATGCAAATCATATTAAAATAATGGTCCTCTTTACTTCTGAAGGTGCCCTGATACAGCAGCGTTGGATGCCACAGGTACGGAAAGGCTCTTGACTTCTCAGGGCTACTTAAATTAAAGGCTACTTAAAAGGCTTCTTAAATTTCGAAGGACTAAGGTGATAATTTGTATCTAAGATGCGTGTGCACTTGGATCTGAGTCGTCGACACTGGACTTGATCATGTATAGAAAAAGGGTAATTTATGCCATAATCGAACTGGCTAAGACAAGAAGACGCGACCCATTCAACGCCACCTATGATACCGAAGAAGAAGTGTTCTTCGGAACAAGAGACCAGAGAGGAGTCAGCGGCGTCGGCTTTCTTGTCAGCACGAGTTTGGTTATGAACATTGATTCACTTGCACAGCTAACACTAGAAATCGGATATTTACGATTGAAGCGATGTGGATGAATATCGGCTTTGACAATCTTCGTTGTCTACGCACCGACTTCTCACTATGACGAAGAAGAAGACGATGCGTTCTATATGGACTTGTAGAAGATCTACAGTGAAGATCATACGTTCTTTAAGGTCATCATTAGAAATTTTAAGGCCAAGATTGGGTCCGGAAAAACGGTTGAAGACCGTTACATTGGGACCTACGGACTGGAACGGAACGAGTGGGTGGGAGGCTGTCTGAGTTTCTCATGGCAACCAAGAAAGTTCATAGTAACTCGCAATTCCAGAAGCCCCACCCTCAGCGCTGGACGTGGGAGTCTCCCAATAGAGAGTACCATAACGAAATAGACCACATCATAGTAAATAAAAGGTTTTACCTAACCGATGTCGCTGATGTCCCGAAATTCTACAAGGAATGAGACCATCTCTTGCGCACAGGATTTCTTCCCTCGCTAAAGGAGAAAAAGCCACTAAATTTAAAAAATAAAAGGTCAAAATCACCGAAAACTGGGACAGTTCAATAAACAGCTTTTGGGAAGTTGCCATTCACGATAACGCCGACTATGAATATGACCGCTCATTCAACATCACGTTAGCGCTATGAAAGCTTAGAGTTTCTAAAGTCACTAAGAGACGTCTTTCTCCAGAAACACTCGAGGTGATACGCCAGCGTGGAATCGCACGAGCTGCAGGCAACCACGAACTAACGTCCGAACTTGTAAAGCAATGCAGACAGGCGATAAAAGAAGATCTTAAAGAGAGAGAGTTGTAGCAGTAATGGTCGGAACAGCCTAGGCTAGAAAAAGCGTTTGCAAAACCTATCAAAACTTCAGCAATTACAGAAGCAAGGTGATTGCATCCAGACGCGCAGACGGAACAGTTATTACTTCTAGAAAAACAATGTAGAGAATTATTCACGATTACTATTCGTATGTCTTCAATAGCCATGTCTTCCTGCCCTCGTGTGAATTAAAGGAGGGTGGGTATATCGTCTCACTGGTTTTCCTTTACGAAATGCGGCATGCTATTTCGTCAGTGGAAAATCGAACAGCATTAAATTTGGACAGTATAAGACCTGAAAACCTCAATAACCTTCTTCCAGTACTCATGAACAAACTAGCCTGGCTCTTCACGCGTTGCCTGTCTGAATACAAGGTTTGTACTCAGTGGAACGTCAGCAAGACTGTGCTATCGTTCAAGAATGGTGACCCCGCGATAACGGTAACTATCGCTCAATTTGTTTCCTACCTGTTGTCTATAAACTCTTCACTGTAGTCGTCTTAACAAGACTAATATAATACTGTACGAAGGAAATCCATGTGAGCAATGAGGGTCATGAAGAGGGTTTAGTAGGGCGGATCACAACAACACGGTGGCAAGACCCATTGAAATTTAAAGAATGTGTTTTGTACGTGCACAGTGAGGTATTTTATTTAACTTTAAGTTTACTAACTAGGTATTCCTTGACATGAAGACCGTCACACAGGTACACTCCACAACCAGGAGTAACTGGGAGGCTTACAAAGAGCAAAACAGTGGCTGTTTAGAAGAAGCTGCTTACTGCGCGAATGAAATCGGTGTGATTAGTTTTATCTATTGAGGTTATGTTATGAATGCGTTGGGAGAGTGGAATGCGTATTAATTTGGCCTTTCTAGGCTCTGAAAAAGGTGAAAACGCTGAAACGTCAGCTATTGTGAATTAATAAGCGGTGTAATAGCAGCCTCGCCTTGCTCATTAAGAGAAACAGTGAATTATTGAACAGTGCCGAGGTTAATAGAAAGTTGGTTGTGGATTTGCCTCTAACTCAGTTAAAATTAAAGCGGTCATAGAATTCCTGGAAAACCAAGGCGGCTCTACTCAGTATACGAAGATTCTTCGTGAGCTATATGGAAATTTCGCCACCAAAATATCACCATTCTGCAACGATATTAAGATCGACGTAAAAAAAAGAGGTTAAACTAGACGGTGCCGTGTTGTCAAAATTATTTACTGCCACACTCGAAAACGTCATGCAAAGACTGGAATGGAGCAACATGGGAGTGAAGATCAATGGTCAGCAATTACGTCATTTTCATTCTTCTGATGAGATCGTTGTTATAACAACAAGCGTTGGATAGACGGAACGAATGACGGCAAGTTTTATAACGCTTGTGGAAAGATTGGTCTTCGAATAAATCTCACAAAAACGATGTTTACGAGGAACGGATTGATTTCGTACGCCCTGTTCACTTTCAACATATTGTCTCCGAATGCTCCAGCTACATCTATGTAGCTCGGGAAGTTAACGTGATGACTGACTTAACCCCAGTGCTGAACAGGATCGAAAGCACGATGCTCGGAGTATTCCATGTCACAAAAGTGAAGGAAGGCATACGAAGCTCCTACCTATGTCGAGTCGACGATCTAAATTCAAAGACGTCGTTCTATACGCCAAACTGACGCACATAAGGTGGACCGGTTAAGTGTGAAAAACGTTGAAAACAGCCGTTAGTGGCTAGATTCCTCGAGCTGTATAAGGGAAAGCATAAAAACCATCGGTCGGGTGGTCAGAGTTCTTCGTGAGCACTCTAGAAGTCAGATATGAATTTTGTTCGCGAAAGAGAATAATGGAATGCTTGCTGACGCATGCTGGTGTTACTCGACGATGGTCGGGAGAACAGGTGACACAAGTGATGACTCAAAGGCAATAGAAGGTAATCTTCCTCTTCTACTTTAAGCTCATATATCTCAACCCATTATAAACTTTTTTGTTATAAATGAAGTAACTTAAAAAGGTTTTTTTATTGTATCTTTGAGGTAATACAGCGAAGTTACTTTTCTAGCTTTGTTAAGTCTGAGGCTGCAAAAAAACTTGGACTACCGATGATTTACAACCACGTACTGAGTAGTTTGAACAATCATCAACGAAGAAATAAATAGTAGTAAATAAGCAAGCACTAGATTAATCAGTTAGGCATGAACATGATTGATTCTCGAAGTACTGTTCAACACTACGCCAAGCGTTTATGTTTTTTCATAATACAAGTTTGCATTTCGGAAAGCGAGTATTACCAATGTTCTCAATTTAATCGTGCATTAAATAACTTATCAACATACAATTCCTTACATAATATCACCGACAACATTGTTACCTGCAATTTCATTAATCTGCAGTATCACCAACGTGCATTACTGAGGGCTCCATTCGTCCACGTGTAAGACGAACTCTGACGTTTGCTCGCCCAATGGACAAGAATTCTCTCACAGTTTTTGTAAAAAGACCTTTTATTTTTATTATTTGTGCAGAAAAGCAATGTCAATGACTTAAACTATCCGACTATGCCGTGTATGGGTGTACATTCGTAAAGTAGCAAATTGAGCTCATCCAGAGTAGATGCAAGGCTTAATTTTTGTATGCCACCTTAAACCACCTCTACTCGGCAATCACATAATTGCATACTTTTGATCAGAACAAGAGCATGGATACAATTCGCATCTATGCATATACTATTGAACATGACTTTATTACGAGTTATTTAGAGCATAAGTTTATCTGGTCTACCAAATACAATTAACCCGTTTGCTGAGTGGACTTGCGCCCGGATGTAAGTAAAAGGTTGCGTTTGCTCCGCATTAAACGACTTCCACTCTATCCAACAACTAGAAGACCGCCACTCGGTTTCGCGATGAAAACTAGAGATTCCTCAGTGTCCTCAGGCTTCACGTCCATATATAAACATTACTTTTGGAAGTATTAAGTTTTTTAAAGAAAGGTGACATTTGAAGTACTTAAAAATAATTATCTACAACATTAAAGATCACTGAAATGAGTGGGAATATAAATAATGAGGATACTGGGTGTTAATCTTGCTGTCAGTTTGTGACAAACACTGCCCATTAGTAGATGGTCGAACTATGGCCTGTTACTCGTGTTTCACAAAAAAGTAATGTTTTAGATAGCATTAATGTTAATAAAAATAAAGGATAAAGCTCTCGGCGTTGATCTATCCCTAAGTGATGAGTCACTCATCAGCTTCGTCATGTGTCGTTGGAGGTAATAGGATGCATATCTGGCCGTATATAACTTGTACTGAAAGTCAGTGCTCGTATCATCCTAGACAGGCCTGGTACCAATCTGCCGACCCCTGGGCACAGGAGGCTTGGTGGGCCTGGGGCGTGGGATCGATCTCATGTTTATTGCACGGCACCTCAAACCATTGCGCCACATTCGCCAATTTCCTCCAACCATATGAAGCTTAATGAGTTCTAATTGCTAAACACTCTAGATTCACGACTCTTAGAACTATATTAGTAATGTTCTTAACACCAATTTGTCCTACTTGCTAAATGAATATTATAGGAATATCTTTACACGAAAAAAAGCCAATTAATTTCGCCGTCTTTCACAGTTATGACAACTAGAATGATGACGCCTTCGCAAAGCTAGAGCATAGTAAAAAATTTGAGGATAAAAACATATAAATAGGAATTGGATAGAACTAATAATAGCAGAAATATGCAGTTATTTGAAGGAACACCGATGGAGGTGCACGGGTAAGAGTGCAAACTCCTCACAACAGGCACAAATCACCGCCGCCATAACGCCCGAAGCTGACTTTTCGGCAGCAGAACAGAACCTGCTGAGAAGTTTAGAAGTTCGAAGCTTTATAGAAGACACTTTGGTGCATCACATTAATCGTATATATAATTCTTAAGCAGCACTGTCTCAATTTTAAAAATGATTAAAATTGTAAATTTTCAAAAAATCGGAAAGGAAGCTTATTTTAATAAAACTCACAGCAGATAAGCGATTTCACAATGTTTAACTTTTGTTAGCTGCCTGTTACTTTTTATGGTAGGGTATTATGTGAAATGAAACCGGAATAATGTTGAGATATGAGCATAAGTTGGACCTCCGGTGAGCTTCAAACCTGTGATTACCCGTTCTACGAGCCCTTGGGTTATCTATTGTACCAACTGAAGGCACTGTTTTGCCATTCTTTCAGCAAGTCTTTCTTATCCTGACGGTGCAACCTACTGACTGGTGATTGTTGACAGCACCGTTACGGGAAGAAAATACTGCCGGAAAGTAACGGTAAAACAAAGGTCTCAGTTGGCGCAGTGGATAAGACGGGGATACCCGGAAAGAGTCATCGCAGACTTGGAGTTAACCTGGGATTCCGAGTTTTGTTCAGCACCACCTTGGTTGCATTTCAGATAAGCAATAATTGAAAACGCAAACGATTCTTTGGGGAAACACCATAGCACTCTAATTCTGCATGTTCATTTGCTTTCTTGTTGGAAATATGAGCCTTGAGGCATTAAAGTAGAAGACGCATATGCCATAGACTCTAAAAAAATAAGAATTTCATATACTAAAAAAATAACTTGCAGCTTGTAGGCAAAAATCTATAGATTCCAAAAATTTTAGTTAGAACTAATGAAGTTTAGTGTGAGCTGAGATATGTTGGTTTAAATTTGAAAGCGACCACTATTTTCGTGTAGAATGGATTCCATTCAAATTTAATGTTACTTCAGAAAGTGGTTGAACAGACGGCCACTTATGAATTGTGGGCACCTCAAACCATACGTAAACACGCCTCTAACAGAAAAAGTACTCCATAATTCAATCCTACTAAACGCTGTTTATGATTTTCCACTGAACACTATTACCAACTTTGACGGACCCAAAACATCACGACAGAGAAACTTGACTGGTAGAAGTGCTTGAAAACGATGAAAAAATCACCTGAAGCTTGATTTTCTTGCTATCTATATCGATGACTTTGTTCTGAAATAGAACGATATAGAATATCTAGTTCACAAGCAATAATACCTAGTAAGATGTATCTTAATTTTAAACGTTTTTAAACTTTTTAACTCTCTTTAGTTTTAAATATTTTGAGTAATGCAATTTTCGCTTGTTGAATGTATCTTATAATGAGGATGAGAATTTTCAAGTAATCGTTATTATGGCCAAAATCTCCTGTACATTGCGACTAATTTGAGTTTGTACTCTCATCACTACATTTTGTCGACTGCGATTCATTGAGGAAAGTGGTTTCATGTTAATCAGCTGAAAAAATTTTTTGCCATGCGATGGCAGGCTTTACTTCTATATTCTAGTAGGTATTCTAGTCGCATCCGATATAACCATGTAAGCCTCTCGTTCCCACTTGGAGGAACAGCACCAAAGAATTTCACTACTTTTGGATATCTCAGATGTAAAATTCATATACGTATGTAAATGAGCGCATGTCTGACTCTTTGTTCAAGAAAATCTAAGAAGTAAACTGAAATCCTCTTAACGTCGTCATAGAGGGAAGAATACAGATACTCGAATTGTCAGAGGCTTAGCCCTACCCAGCAATCTCACAGTACTTTCAAAAGCATGAAAGGAAGCAAATTTCTGTGAATCATTGAATCAGTCCGTGGTTGGTTGTGTCAATAATAGAATAGAGGTATTCTCTAACCACTGTGCTACAAGCTCCCATTTAGAGAAATATTGAAAACAAATTACAATTGGTAAGAAACTAAGTACGTAGTAAACAAATGGAAATGGACTAAACACGTAATTTCAAAATCGAATTTAAACAATGAGTATTCACGCTGTATCACATAGCTTTTCTTAGTCTTAAATTTGCTGGCTACATTTTTCTGTGATTAGTAGTTGTGGTCCACAAAGTGAAATGGAATGATGATCATCCAATCAAAAAATTTTGAGTTCATTACTATAACGTAATAAGTCTTCTCCCCCTGGGGTGTACTGCGAGGTCATGTTAGGCTTGAAATCAGCATTTGCGCAAAAATGAATCAGAAACGGAATATCAGTCTGTCGATAACCACATCGTGGCAAATTTATGCACTTGTTAACATTTCATCCACCTTCTAAAATTCCAATGATCCAGCTTAAGAAGGGAACCGAATGAATTCTTTTCGCACAAGGAATCAAATGCACGGTTATGCTCTGAGAAAGTTCTTCCGCAGATGGCATTCATGCTGGTAAAGTGACTCAAAGCCTTGAAATGGTTCAAATATGATGCCCGCGTGGTCTTCGAGGAGCGCCATGTCGACGATGAGGTAGTTCATGGAAAAAAATTAGCGGAAATTCGTATTTGTATTAAACTAGTGACATAAATGATAAAGCAAATTATAGGCGTTTATATGAAGCTGTTCATGAGGTTCGATCTTTACCGTTTTTTAGTCATATCGAACTACTAGTTATACGGATATGATGAAGTGTCCAGTTTGTTTGTAGTTACGCGGATGAAACTTCGGCTTATTTTTGCGTTTTTTGCCATTTTACTACTCCAAACGAAGTGATAAAAAGGCTAGAAGAATTCTTTATTAACGCTATCGTGAGCACTTTTCGATGAATAGCGTCATTGCAGTTTTTTTCCTCAGGCTAGCTATTATTCCTAAAATTCATTCACATACCTCTCATAACATTGAAAATAATTGTTATCTTGACAAGCACTCGTCAGTCCTCTCACATTCACTATTATGTCTTCTACTTTATAGCAATTGGTTCATTTGTTTTCTATTTTTAATATTCTTAACGTACCCGATAATCAATTCCTACGGTTGAAATAAAATTGTTGCTGAGAAATGCTCCATCCTTGTAACGTACTAGTAGACAAGTTTTACCTGTACAGCTGTCACCCAGAAGCATCACCTGTAATAATGAGATATTACAACAGTTTTACATGGCGATTTATTCTAAGGAAATAACTAGGATGATTGCTATGGCTGTTGCTTTTATCCTAGAGATAGGATGCTCATGTTCTACGCATTCTTGTCTTTCAGCGTTCACAGTTAATCCTTCGGGACGAGATTTCGTAGTCACTAAGTTCTTTTTCAGCACCTCGTAGAATGGATAGTAGACGAGTTCATTTATGATAATTCTGTGTCTCTCCAGTGCAGTAAAAAGTACTTGCAAGAGGGGAAATAGGATTCGTGCATGCTCTAATGAACACCTTTTTTTGTTGCTGAATGCTGCTCGTGACATATGAGTAAGAAATTTTATACACAATGAAAAAATCAGAGCATCTATTGTTTACATATTCATCAAGTTATATCTGTCAAGTGATTGTGATAATCCTGACTGCAGTGAACTTCTCGATAGTGTGAAGATTTACACTATATCACTAGATTTACACTATATCAGTGTAGTAAGATGCTCGTCGTCAACAAATCGTATTCGCTACGGGAACATGAGCTCCTTCTTCAATAGAAACCCTGACTCACAGCAGAAGGGATTCTGCAAGTTGTCGAAAAAAAAGACACATTTGAGTAGTAGCACACATTTCTCATCGGCCGCCACACATTCACACATTAGAAAGCAGATGCCTAACAGATTAGTTCTCGTCTTCCATTCATGGGCTCAAGACGTTTCCCTATTCGTGTCTATAAAACTCAGCAAAAAGGAATCATTTCTATCGCCGTCTCATATCATGGCATCTGTCAATTGTTCTGAATCGCGATTCCTAAACGAGCAACTCGTTCTTTTTCAGCATCTCGTAGAATGAATAGAATGAATTTTTCAGCATCTCGTAGAATGAATAAATTTTCTAAGTACAACTATTTACAAATTAGAGCTGATTATGCAGTCATTGTGGTCTAGCATTGGAGTGGCGAAATGAGATGAAGGCTGGTGTATGAATTATGCCGCAATTTACAAAAACTGTACGAAATGTTTAATGAAATGTGGAAAAAGAATTTCAGAGACTGAAGTGCTGTTACAAAAACAACTAGAATGTAAAGCACCCACCGTAAATGAGTGATCGACCTCTTGGAGAATGGATGACCCTTTGCGTATGCTCGGTTTCATAATAGAGCCCAGGCGTTCAGGTTCAGCGGTGTAACGGTTACTTCTCGGTGAAACTTTACAGCAGAATCACTTGTAAGAAAGTGTCGACTAAAATTTTGAATAATCAAGGAAGCACGAATTTCTCACTGTCAACAACCATCACGTTGAACACTAGAGTAAGGATTAAATTAGGCCGTATATTTGAGAAAGGACTGCGTAGTACGGTTAGAGTAAGAAAAATGGCGCATACTTGCTTGTGAAGAGTCGAAGAGGTGTATTATTGAGGTGATGATAACAAATTAGTATAGCCTGTTCAAGTGGCGAATTAGATGAGATATTAGAACAATAGTGAGTCCCAATTTAGATATGGTAACCAGTCTAATGCTCTGAATTTCTGTTCTGAATTTCGAACTCGAATACACAAACTACAGCCGAGCAGAGCTTGAGTGGTGTGATGTCGAGATAAATTTGTTCCCAGTGCACGAATTTCCGAGTTGTTTTCGCAGATGACGCAGAAAATCGGTTGGTTGGAGAAAATGACACGAAAGGAAGGCGGGCGAATGCGCGAAACTTGAAGTCAGAAACGAGACGAGATTCTCTATCTATAAGTATGCATGTTATGCTAAGAGCTCAGTGTTTAGGGGCGGAGCTGGGCACACCATAAACACAACTTCAGAAGGATTGTGGAATTCACGCGATTTCGTCATCCGAAGGAAGAATAGGGAGAGAGAGAGAGAGAGGGAGAGAAAGAGGAAGAAAGAGCGAGTCGTTAATCGTTGTTTGCTCTTCAACCGCTAAGCTCACGGCTTTACTAACGGAGAGTAAGCGTTAAATTATTCAGTAGGAATTTGACACCACAGCTAACTTACATGAATTCTTTGTTGAGATTTCGTGGGTTCCACTTACCACGCTAACGTGGACTAATTTGGCATTGCATTTGTCATTTCTTAATTTCGTTAGAGCTCAGACATTGTGGACATGTCAGAAATGGGTGGGCTTATGCCTGGTAAAGATTTAAAAAGGATTAACTATGTAGAGCAGACAAAGAAGTTCAAAACCGTTTCAACGTTCAACGCAACAGATCATGCTCAATATTCTTTGCTTCTCTCTCACTGGCAAGTTTGTACAACGTGAATATGAAATCATGACTAATGTATATTTCATTTGAAACATTTGCAATTTCCATCGTTTTCTTAGTTTCCAGGTTTTGGTTGTTGACTCTAGCGCTACAATTTCTTTTACTTCTATAGTAATGTAAAAGTGGGAATAACAGATGTAGCTCCACTTTCCATCTTTATTAATTCACTGGCTACAAATACGATGCGAACTTTAACCTTATTTGAAGGAGGCAAAAGAATCAGGACTTAAATTGATGAATAGTGTGCGCAAGAGAAAAAAGCTAACAATTTCATTAGTCCTTTTATTCTTGGATGATGTTTAACCGTTGTGACACTTTTGGAACAAGCATTTTCAGTGGTTTCTGAACTAATGGAATAACGACGGTGCATTTGTTAGCCTTCATTGTCAAGGAAGATGAAGTAATGAAATCACATACGAACATTCGAACAGATAGCCACCACGAAAAACATTCCTATGAGCAAAACTCATATGTGGATTTGAACAAGTACATGTGTAAGTGCTTCAGTTAGAGTAAATTGTCTTGGAAGCTGAATACGTTGTCGCAGAAACAAACACCCTGATTGATCATGTCGCCCAAGTCAGCGAACTCCAACTGCATAAGCGCCTTAACCGCGCACATGAATCTTCGGTTTTCGCATTCCTAATGAAAAGACGTGCGAAGAACAGTTAAATCTTAAAAAACCCCATGAACGAGAGAAGTGGCTGTTATTTTAAACACTCATTTACTAAGAAGTACGGCCACCTTCGTATCACCATTTGAGTGTGCTGAAATTCTAAGCACAGTAAAATCAATGTGTGGGATGGAAGCGTTTTAAAAGATGGAAGAGACAGCTGCAGCGAACAATACTTTGATGAGCTTGATTCGGAGAGAAAATGGTGTTTAGCGGATTATGGCAGTTTTTGCACTTGTTAGGACGTGTTCAACTTTTGATGTATTGCACTTTTTTTGTGTTGCGCATACGTGGCTGCACTTTAGATAGTAGCAACAATGCATTACCTTGCGGGAAGATCACATAGGTCGAAGAGTAAAGAAATGAAGCTTATTCAGACGAACACGACAGCATTTGTTCACGTTGCGGCGAGTAATTACATAAATTCATTCTTCATTCTATAAAAATGGAACCGATATGGAGACGTTGACGATAACTAATCACGGTAGTGAGCGTGAGCGTGTTGATCGATGGTTATTTTATACGTTGGTGTTAAGAAAATAAGTAAAAAAGAGGGCTTCGACGAAGTTACATCCACAGTAATCAAGACAAGGAGCCGAAAAGTGGATTCCCTCGTGAGTACTGAGGCCCGTTATCCCACTCAAAGAAACCTACTTTCTGCTTCGACATCAGCGAAGTAGTGGTTGTTGTTAGTGAGCTGCTTTGCTACGCTGCTCATATTTGCAACGTTTCAATGAAAGTAGAACTATGAAGGAGTTAATAGAGAATCCTTTCATAGTGTGATTATTTCATCGTGTGCTGAAAAAAACCGGCTTGTGTGGTCTATAAATAATGACTTGTGTCAGAAGTGCATGAGCACCTTCAATATGCAGCGCTGCCGAGGTGTCTTCGGAGAATGATGAAGGAAAATGCAAAAGATAAACAACAAACTCCATTCTGTACGCATAAACCTTAGGCTGATCGCATTTCAAGAATGCTTAGAGAAATATGAATCTAGCATCGAACAAAGAGACATGAATGGTGACGAGTATTCGGGTTACGGTGACGACATCAGCTCATCGAAATGATTGAATTAGGTTGCACATATTAAGAAACGAACACAAAAAGTTTCAGTTAAAGTTATTTGCTTGTACTATCCATCGAAAAGGATTGATTTGTGCGTACAAAATAAACAATTTGACGTATTGTAAGAAAACTCGCTCGCTAGTCGATTTCTTTTTTTTCAACAGTTTGGCCGAAGTAGCTCGGAGTGTTTAGAAATCTTCTACTCGTTTTTATCGTCACTGCCAATAAGAAAAATTTCTCCACCTTAGTGCAAAACGTAAGAAGGTCATATGCATGTCGAAAAATTGGTGAAGTCTTTTAAAAGAATGTGAGATTTTGAGCTGTTTAGAAAGAAGTTGGACATCTCTTCAGTGAATTACTTCTGTCATGACTAAATCTTTGAGTGACAAACCCAAATACTTTAAACTCGACAGAAACTTTGATATTCACTTGTGATTTCCCACAAACTATCCTCGTCTGGAAAAACAAAATACCACAAATCAGTCAAGGAGTACATAAAGGAGTAAGTGAAAAAATGAGTAAGTTGTTCAATTGTTCCTAGTGAGTGTAGAGATTATGTAATTACTAAAGCATTGATCGTCTAAAAGAATTAGTAAATCTTTAAATCTTTCACACTTTGGAAAATTGACTGTTCACCTATAATCCCATTAATCATTGAGGAACTCGTGTGGGCATAAATAAAGCCTTTTTCGTTCTCCTCATTCGGCAGAGTGGCTCAGTGGAATTCGTTCCCTTGAGGGATCACATTTCTGGTATAAGGTTCTGAATTTTATTGGTTATGGCGAAAAAGTAGTTCCGAGAAGCTCGACGAGCCTGACATGACTTTCAGATGAAGACGTGCACTTTCCTTTTGGTGTTGAGTGAATATTCTGTAGTGAACAAATTCAGCACTGTATATTGCAAATGAATAAGCGAGAACACCCGTTAAATCACTGAAATGGAAAATCTGCCAAGAGAAAACTGATAATTGCCTATACTAGGTTTAGATTCTCTATTCTGTAGTGCACAACTCTATTCTCTTCCAATCGATTTGTCGTCCGCCTTGGAGCAGTCATTCTTAGTGGTGTGGATTTGAATTTTTGAATGTAGATTCGACCGTCGGCTGATAATTTTTGCGTCTTTTGTTCCTCTACACGTCGCATTCTGGAAATGGTCGTCCCTGCAATTCTAAGATAGGTAAACCTGACAAAGTAAACTGGCTGAGGGAAAGCTAAATCAGGGACTTCGGTGGTGCAGTAGCCAACGCGTGAGACCCCGTAGAAGGTAATCGTAGGTTCGAAACTGGCCTGGGGTCTGAGTTTTGCAAATATTTCAGCATCATTG